GTGTAGAGGGAGGTGTTAGAAGAGGGGTAGCTCACATGATCAGAGTGGGGCTACTGGAGGAGTGGGCACAGGGGGGAGAGAAGGGCTGGTGGAGGGGGGTAGGCTGCAGGAGGGCTGAGGGCAGTGAGAAGGGCAGGCGTCAGGACAGCAGAGGAGGGTGAGGAGTTGGGGGGCAGCAGGCATCAGGGGAGCTGATGGAACGAGGAGGAGACATAGCAGAGAGAAAAGGTAAAGGTTTAAAAATATTTTTTAATAACTTGGGAGCCACAGTGGTACATCCAATCAAGCCACATGAACTCAGTACTGGTGCACAACACAAAATTCATTCTGCTTATGGGAGGAAACGCTTAGGGTATGTCTACACTGGCAGTTTCTTGCGCAAGAACATCTAGCGCAAGGGTTCTTGTGCAAGAAGTTTTGCGCAAGAAGACGTCCACACTGCCATGTGCGAGCTGTGCTTTTGCACAAGAGCATCCATGGCAGTGTGGACGCTCTCTTGCCCAAGAAAGCTCCGATGGCCATTTTAGCCATAGGGGTTTCTTGCGCAAGAAATCCCTGCCGAGCATCCACACTGCCCTCTTGCACAAGAGAGCTTACACCTGTTAGAAAAGAGCATAGCTCTTGCGCAAGACGCCCTCTCTTACCATGCCATCCTGTAACTTTCCTTGCGCAAGAGCAGGTGGGCAGTGTGGATGCTCTGTGGGTTCTTGCACAAGACCTGCTGTACTTGCGCAAGAAGCCACGAGTGTAGACATAGCCTTAGAGGGAACACTTCCCCCAGCCTCTCTGCCCCTGAGTTAATGTCACACACATTGGGTTAATGCAACTGCAGGATAGTTGCATGAGGGGGGTTTGGTAGAGGCCAAACTAATCCCTGTTGGTAGGAGGATAGTGAGGAAAGCCCTTCGAGAGGGGTGACATGACACCTTTTACTTCTGGTCATGTGTCCATCTTGCCCTGAGTGTGTTACCTCCAGAGGCCTGGCTAACAGGAGCCAGGGGGCGTGGCTAATGGGGCACCACCAAAAATTATACAAACCTGTGGCCCATGGGAGGGCAGACATATCGGGAGCTGGGTGAATGTTTTTCTGTTCTCTAAATAAACTGTCAGAGACTGCTGCCACCAAATCAAGGCAGGCAGGCACGTGAGACTAAATTAAGAGTTTGCCTGAAGCAGCAGGCTAATCAGGCACCTGCAGCCTATTAAAATCTGCTGGGTTACTTTAAAAGGTGTCCTCTCAGGTAAGGGAGAGAGAAGGAGAAAAGTGAAGGACTGAGAGAAGGAAGTGTGTTGCTGAGAACTGAGAAAGAAAAGAATGATTGTGCTGAAGCAAGCAAGATTCACTCTGGTACAAAGGAAGGAGGTGCTAGGGGAGTGTTTGGGGAGTGGCCCAGGGAAAAGGTTATTGTAATTGGGACTAGAGGAAAAACCCTGACAGTTGTCACTACTTAGGGTCCCTGGACCTGGTGTAGTGGGTAGGCCCAAGTTCCCCACAACCCTGCCCACTCAGCTAAAAGGTCTGCTCCTGGATAGAGAGGCCAGAATTATGGAGGGGTTTCACCCTAATTCTTTAACTTTGCCATTGATGAGAATGGCTCAGTAAACTGTAACCCTGGCTTCTAGGAAAGGTAAGAGACAGGGTGGAAGGTCACAGCAAGCCTCTGGGGCACAAAATAACTGCCTTGGAGCACAGGGCCTATAAGGCATGACAGGAGCATTGCCACAATGGGTACGTCTAGACTACAGGCTTTTGTCGACAGAAGTTTTGTCGACAGACACTGTCGACAAAGCTTCTGTCAACAAAGAGCATCTAGACTACATCCAGTTCTGTCGACAAAGCAAGCCGCTTTGTTGACATGACAGTGTAGATGCAATAACGCCTTCTGTTGACAGAACTCTGTCAATAAAAGGCGTTATTCCTCACAGAATGAGGTTTACCGCTGTAGACAAAACTGCTGAGTTCTGTCGACGTTATGTCAACAGAACTTAGCGGCAGTGCAGACACAGGCATAGTTTTGTCAACAAAAGTCTACTTTTGTCGACAAAACCCTGTAATCTAAACACACCCAATGTGTGCAACAGATTGTTCCTTCTCAAGTGGAATATTTTGCATTTGTCCTTACTAAATTTCATCCTGTTTACTTCAAACCATTTCTCCTGTTTGTCCAAATCATTTTGAATTATGATCCCATCCTCCAAAGTACTTGGAATTCTTCCCAGGTTGGTATAAGCCGCACATTTTATAAGTGCTATTATCTGAAGCTATGTCTACACTATGGGCTTCTTGTGCAAGAAGCTTTTTAAACTTCTTGCGCAAGAGAGCATCCATACTGCATGGACGTTCTCTCAAAAGAAAGCACTGATAGCTATACACAGAATGGCCATCAAGGCACCTGTGCTTTTTCCTCTTTCCTGTTTTTGCACAAAACCCCCTGTTGCCCAGCCACACACACCTTTTTGTGCAAGAACTCCTGCAGTAAAAGGAGTTATTTCTCGAAAAAGGAGGAATACCTACCCCGGAAAAACCCCTCTGTTCTTTCATTTTACTTGCACAAAAATGCATTTGAGGTGTGGATGCTCCATGAGTTTTTGTGCAAAAATGTTTGTTTTTGCACAAAAACTCTGTAATGTAGACCTAGCCTTAATCATTCATGAAGATACTGAACAGAACCAGTCCCACAACTGATCCCTGTGGGACACCAGTCAACATGCCCTTCCAGCTTGATTATGAACCACTGATAACTACTTTCCAGGAACGGTTTTCCAATCAGTTGTTCACCTACCTTATAGTAGCTCTATCTAAGTTTGTAATTTCCTAGTTTGTTTATGAGAATGTCAAAAGCCTTACTAAAGTTAAGCTATATCACATCTACCACTTCCACACTACCATAAGACTTGTAACCCTGTCAAAAAATCGTATCGGGTATTTGTACTGGACAAATCCATCTAGATGTTTATTCGCTCCATTATCTTTCCATGTACTGAATTTAAGCTAACTGGTCTGCACTTCCCTGGGTTGGCCTTATTTCCCTTAAAAAAATAAATCAGCGCTATGCTTGCCCTTGATAAATGAATATTGCCCTTGAATATTGGCTAGTGGTTGATTGGGACCAGGACTCTTGTGAGATGATGAGTCTCCATCAATGAGCATATGGCGGGAGTGAGGCTAAGAGGATTGGCATTTGGGACAGGGCTCCAGGCTGGGGCAGAGGGTTGAGATATAGTGGCATGAGGACTCTCCTGGGGATGCTGCCTCTCTGGCACTGGGTTGGGATGAGGAGCTGGGGTGCAGGCTGCCCCAGGCCTATGTCAGGGAGAGAGGACTCCCCTCAACTCTCTCCCCACAGCAGATCTAGTGGTGGGAGAGAGGAGGCAATGAAAGATGACAGAAACAACCTCTCTGCAATGAATTACCTTTCAATCTGAGACAGGAATTTTGTTTCAAAGATGCCTCTTGTCCTGAGCGATTCTGAAATTTGGCCTCTGAACAGAAGTCCGTGTTTGGTTAAGTCGATCAAAATTTGCCTCACTATTTCACCCAAATACATTCCACTGGTCATTTTTTCATACCTATTGTCCAAAACGTAAATAAATAATTATAAATAATTAAAAGATGGCAAATTAATTCATTCTGTTTAATAACATTGGTAGTACACAGTATAACCAGCCTCTAAAACCATTAAAAACTCAGGTATTCCATTACCTGTACTCACTGGTGCTAGGCTGTAAAAAACACATTATCTGTTACAATCACCCAACTGCAAACACTAGTTACAATATTTCATGTTCTTTAGAAGATAAAGAATTTAGAAAGAAAACACACTATTGCTTCCACCAATGTCCTACAATACCTGCCCTGATCTCTGCAGCCCTATATATGTGCCCCTCCCCTTTCAAAGCCCTGAGGAAGTATCAGACAGCTGAGTGTTGCTCCATTTAGGGAACAAGCAAAGAACAAATCATTGGAGTGCTTCTGTTCTGCTTTGCACTAGGAACACAGTGGCAGGCAGACTCCTGCTAGCTAGAGGGTGGTAGAGGGGGACAGAGAATTGTGCTCCTTTGATATTCTCCAGCACGAAGAGCTCACAGAGCATAGGCATCCAGTGGCCAAGGTGGGGGAAGGCTTTGCCTTCCCAAACTGCCAGGCATGGCCACGCCCACACTCCACCCTCAGAAAGCCTGCTGGAGGCATTCTAGAGGCAGAGTGTTGCTGCCCCCAGCATCAGCCCTCCTCATGGTCCTGGCTGGGGAGGCTGGAACTGTGTGGCCTCCTCCCTCCAATGGTGCTCCAGGAGCCGCGCTGCATGGCCTCCTCCCTTCCCCCATGCTCCAGGGAAGCAGGGGAGCTGAGCCATGTGCATGCACTCCCTCACCTCTTTTCCCCTCCCCGATACTCCAGGGAGGCTGGGGCATGCTCAGCATGCTGCCCTACCTCTCTTCCCCTCCTCAGTGCTCCAGGGAGGCTCGGGTGCACTCAGTGCACTGCCCCACCTCCTCTCATCCTGGGGGACATGCTCAGTGCACTGGCCCACCTCTTTCCAGGGGGGCACAGCCTCTTCCCCTCCCCCAGGGTGTGGCCTCAGCACAGAGGGTGGGGCTGTAGGTGGGGTTTGGAACATGCCTCCCCAGCCTCAGTTGCACCAACTGCCCATGTCACAGAGCTAATCATGATGCCATTGCTAGCAGCTGAGGAGGCTCTGGGAGAACTAGGTGGGAATCCCAAGATGTGCAGGGATTCACAGAGCTACTCATGATGACATTGCCAGCAGCTGAGGAGACTCTGGGAGAACTTAGGTGGGAATCCCAAGATGTGCAGGGACCAGTTCTGGCTTCCCACAACACTGCACTGTGACATGCATAACCAGAGTGCATTGCTCAGTCTGTCAATGATGGTCCCCCAGTGTGAACATGAACTGTCCACAGAGGGAGGAAGTGTGAACACACGCTGGCGATTTCTGTTTTGTCAACTTTTGCAGATCAATGTTAGTTTCATCAAAAAGCTTTGTCATGTAGTCATATATTTAAACTTTGTTTACACATTATCAGTTGAGCAACAAAGCTTTTGTCATTCACAGGTGCTTAACACACACACAGCCTCCCTCCCCCAGCAACAAAAGCTTTGCCACAGCAAGTGCTAATGCAAACAGTGCTTTATTGATACACATCACCCATGGGGGGATGGACTTTTTTGTCAGCAAAGGTGCCATTTACACTGCCTGATTTTCAGCGACACAGCTGTGTCGCTAAAAGATTGTAGTGTAGATGCTTAGATCCAGATCAGTTCTGGCTTTGAAAAACCAAATTCAGCCTCCTCAACTCATTTTTTGCAGGATTTATTTTCAAGTTTATTTTTAATACAAACCTTTTGCAACTAATCTTATGAGAAAAGTAATTGCAGTTGTTAGAGTCAAGCCAAGTGGAACAGTAAAGTGAAAGGCGGACACAGTTATGTGTATGTTTTGCACATACCTGCCCTGGCAATGTTGATGTGAGGACTGAGTCATAATTTAGTCAAATACAAAGAACACACACATTCTGCATGATTTATAGTTTGGCAAATAAATTAGGACAGCAAAATCCCCTTGTAAGTCCCTTGTTAAAAAAAAACAGTTCAGGCTCAGTGGATGTTGCAGTAACCTATTCATCATTTAAGAGCAATAAAAATCAGCTTTACCTCTGTTTCCCAGGATTCAATGAACCTTCATCCACTTCTTTATCATATTTTGTTCTGATACTATCAATGCATCCATTGTCACCAAATCCTCCCCATTCTGTGTTAATGCACATTTTCCCTTCAGTCCCTTCCACAGTTTCAATATTCTTCATCTCTTCCATGTAGCACACGTTGCTACCTGTTCCTGGAAGAAATCAACAGGGCTTCAGTCACATTTAGTGAAAGAGCAGCTGAAATGCATAGCAGGAAATCATAATGGCTACACAGTGAAATATTTAAATGTCACTTCTTCTAAACCAGATGTGAGTTATAAAGATATCCCAAGACCTTCATAGAAATCACTGTCAAGAAGTGGCCTCTCTAATTGTGATTTCTAAATAACTGAAATATGAGCATTCAGAACTGATGTGGGTTTCCACAGAATATGCCACAGAAATCAAGAGTACTGAAGAGTCTCTATTATAGCAATGTCCTCTTGAGAGTTGCATTGGAGAAAAACAGACAGGGTAGAAAGGCACAGAACAAGGTGACTGAATACTACCCTACTGATATTTGCATCACGTTTTTCAGGCCGGACAACTCAAGCTCCTATAAAAATTATTTGACTCAACCAGACTTTGTTTAACCCATGTTCATGCATCTACATGTTATATTTGCTTGTTTCACTGCTGCTACACACTGCCCAGGCATCTTTATCTGCCTAACAACATTGAACCTTGAGGCCTTTTGCTTGGAGGACAGACCGGATTCATAGCTCATCTCCGCATGTAAACACTTCTCAAAGAGAACATAACAGCTGAATCGAAAATGTGTGAGTGGGCAAAGCATCATCTTTCACGCTTAATTTGTGACAGGGCTTTCCAGGGCTGAGCCCTGGCATCTCTGGGCTTGCCACATCAGTTATGAAAGAAAGCCAGTTGGAGCCCTAGCCCCTAAGTGCTTGAGCCACGGCACCTCTTTTCATTACAAATTAAAAACGAATACTCTTCCTTCCTACAATACTAGCTACAGTCACCAAGGAATTCTCCGTTATACACTGGAACCTCTTTAATCCATCCACCTTGTGAAATCCCATCTATCTGTTTTTATGCTGTGAAACATAACACGCTGTCAATCCAGCAACTGAAAATTAATGAATGCCATTCTCCTACAGCCTGGTGCAGACCATTAGCACTGAGCTATCAAGCTGGCATGAATTCTCAGCCTGGATCAGTCCACACAAGAGATCCACTTGCTTGACACTACTTACAATTATATAATGGACACATTTCCCCCACCTTCTATCGGAAACTTACCCACTTCTACACTTACCTTCATGCCTCTAGCTTCCATCCCAGACACATTTCTCAATCTATTGTTTACAGCCAAGCCCTAAGATACAACCAGATTTGCTCCAATCCCACAGACAGAGACAGATACCTATAGGCTCTATATACTGCATTCCTATAACTGAAATATCCACCCGGAGAAGTCTAGAGCATTCTTATAACTGAAATATCCACCCGGAGAAGTGAAAAAACAGATCGACAGAGCTACAAGAGTACCCAGACATCAGCTACTTCAAGACAGGCCAAGAAGAGAAAACACCAGAATTCCACTTGTCATCACCTACAGCCCACAACTTAAACCCCTCCAAGGCATTATCTACAATCCATCCTGGAAAATGACCCCTCACTCTCACAGGCCTTGAGGGGAAGACCAATCTTCGCCTGCAGACAACCCCCTAACTTCAAACAAATTATTTCCAGTAACCATGCAACCCACCTCCATCGTGATCATCCAGGAACCTACCCCTGCAATCAGCCCCAGTGCCAACTCTGCACACACATCTACACAAGCAATTTCATCACTGGACCCAACCATATCAGCCACAACATCAGGGGCTCATTTAACTGTACATCCACAAAAGTAATCTATGCCATCAAATGCCAACAATGCCCCTCTGCCATGTATATTGGGCAAATTGGACAGTCTCTACGGAAAAGAATTAATGGACACAAATCAGATATCCGAAAAGGCAACACACAGAAACTTGTTGGAGAACACTTTAACCTGCCCAGGCACTCATTAATGGATCTCAAAGTCACCGTGTTGTTTCAGGCCAATTCCACAAGCCAAATACACAGGGAAGGGTTGGAAATTAATTTAATTTATAAGTTTGATTCCTATCAGAGAGGAATGAATAAAGATATTGTCTGGCTTGCACACAATGGGTACTTACAGAGATGCAAATTGTTTTTATCAGCCTCTTGTAACTTGAACAATCTAATTCACTATTTTCTCTCTTTTTTTCCTTCCCTCCACCCATTTTTTCTCCCTCCCCCAACCTCACCTTCCCTTATTTATTCTTGGATCTGGACTTTTAATATTCCTGTCATCTGAAGAGGTGGGCTGTGCCCACAAAAGCTCATGATACCATCTACATGTTTTAAGGTCCAGTGATGGTGCTGCTAGACTAGACTATTTGTTGTTTTTAAAGTTTTTCCAGTTACAGACTAAGTCGGCTACCTCTCTGAAGCTTATGAATTCTCCAGACATTAATAATTCTTATGAAGTGAACTATTTACTTTGTCTGTCTCAGTTGTATGATTTTTTTCGGTCACAAATCAGTCAATCATTTAAATATTTTGCTTTCATTTTAAACAAGTAATTTGACTAATATTTTACCTGCAATAAGGCCAATTTCACAATTTGGATCTTCATAGCCACATGTCATCATTGTCCCAACAGTGTCATTTACCACGGCTACAATATCCAAGTCAAACTCCTGCAATGGAAATCACATTGTTTAGAAAGGGGTGCAGCTAATTTAACAAATCAAATAGATAGGAACAGAATTCCTTACATTTCTGCGTTTAATGGCCTCTCTTAACATATCAACAACATCTTCTCCTTCACACTCTGTTGCCTTGAAACCTTTTGTCCACTCCACAAGTGTTCCCTGTAACAGAACAGCAACAAAAATTACAAATGTAGTTTGCAGTGAATCCTGTGCAGTGAATGGGGCAAGGCTCTGCAGGAAAAATAGTATGAAAGGATGACATTAATTACTATCTATTGTGCAGGGGACTGAATTAAGGTTGCACAGGTAACCTTAATTCTGGCATTTCCTAACATTTGAGTGCTGGACTTTTGCAAACTTATGTTCTTTTAATGTCTTTTTGTGCAATATGGTTTTGGTCCATGTAAAACCCAACTTCCACTCTGCTTGAAGCTCAGCTGCTGTGTGGAAATGACTCTGCTTTGTTTGCTGTTAACTGCTTTTCTCCATGGTTTATTAAAATTTTGCACCATGCTTGCTGACATAAAGGTTCCATTTGTCAAGTTATGCCCCAAATGCTAGACATTACCAAGGTGTAGCCTGTTACCAGAACAACAGAGACACAAATCAGAAGAAGACAGCCTCATGAACCACTAGTAGTCAAATAATAATTGCATTCCTCAGGATTCCCCCAGTGTCTTGTGGTTTTCCCAACAACAGAATAATCACAAAGGTCCAGAAGTTTCATCATTATCTAATAAGCTACTCTTCAAGCTGATCTAAATACCCAGCCTGCTCTCATCAGACACAAGAGCCTTGAATTTGTTCCCCACTCTGGCATGATGAATGCAGAAGTTGGGGGCCCTCAAGAGCACTCCAAAACCTTGCCTCTACAGGCTCTTGTACAAAACTTCCCCCCACAAAATCCTAATACCCAGATTTTGGGGGACTCACTGCCACCACCCAAGTAATTCCAAGAAAATCAGGGAAGAGATCACTTGGGAAATCCTCTCCCTAAGGTAAAACTCTCTCCCCTGCCACAACCTGCATTTTGCTTGGAGTTGGAAAAACAGAGGGAATCCACAGACAACAATGGACTCTGCCCTTGTAACTAGGCTCTTAGTCCTAAGGACACAGCAATCCACCAATATTGGTTAATTAGAAAAAAAATCTTTTATTATCAAAACAAAACTACAGTTGCAAGCATAGTAAATTGGCTAGCTGGAAAGAGCCACCACTGATATAGATACTTGGAAAGCCCCTAGGCTGAAGACTTAGTTACAAAAGAGAAAAAAAAACACTTAAGCTCAGACATTATTTCCAAATCCCCAAACAAGGAAAACAATAAACCCTGATGGACTAGCTAAACTTTTCCCTACTTACACATTTTAAGAAATCAGTTCTTGGAGAGAGAAGCGTCTCCCATCTCCCTCAATAGCTGGGAGAGACTGCTCTGAATTCAAACAAAGAAGAGGGAGAAAACCCCCTCTCTTCCAGATTGAAATTTCTACCTGCATTGTTATTGGCTGACCACCTGATACCTTGCTAGGTGCTTCAGTAGCCCCTTAATTACCAAGTGCTGGTCAGCACTCCTGATTATGACAGGACCAATAAACCAAGTAGCAGCAATAGCTGAAGTATTCTTTCTACTTTTTTGGGATGCATTCCCTTCCCACCTACTTCCTTGCAGGTAATCACCTGTTTCATCATTTGTGAGTTGAACTATAACAAGAATTGTATTTACTGTAAATAATTAAGCTAATGAGTTTTAAGAAATTTCCATTGCAAAATTTCAGCTTATTTGAGGTGTGATACTCTGTTTTATGTGAGGCAATTCATAAGTCTAGAGATCTGCCCTGAATCTTATTTAAAACCTTGTAAATCCTTGTTTGCGTATTTACTTACATTTCATGTTAAATCCAGCATATAAAAGGGTTTTTTGCATTAAATGTCTGAACAGTGAACAGTTAAAAAAAAAATCCACCAAAATGGTCGATACCCACTGTAGCTATTCAACACCGGTTTGTGTTGCAGTCCTTACCTTGTCAATGCTAGCTTGCCTGCAGGGGAAAGAGAACGTGAAGCCCAAAGGGAGACGTGCACCTTTAATTCCCATGTATTCCAAAAAATCTGCTATGCACTGGACTATGTGATCAAAGAGCTGGAAGAACAGAGGCAGTATGTAAAAGCCAGCACACATTTAATGGAAGATTATATGACAAAAATAATTAAACATTGGTTTGGACGTTACCTCTTCTCCTGTTCCTTGCATAATTTCCAAAGGAATGGCAAAGATTTTATTGTACATTCTCACAGATTTTCTTCTCCCACTTCTAATTTTTACAAGCAGAACTCTGAAGTTTGTTCCCCCAAGATCAAGTGCAAGGAATTTTCCTTTTTCTGAATCAGAAAAAGAAATATTGTTTTTAGTGCAAGCTTAGGGAAGCCATTACAACACACTATAAATACTGGTTAAGAGTGGACTAGGATTTTCATCCTGCAGAAAATTCCCAAGTTTAAGAGGTGTTAAAAAATATAACGAAAAATAAAATATCAACATTTCTGTAGAATGAATATTCCAAAACTTTGTTTAGGAAAAACCTTTATTTTGTTTCAAACTTTTAGAAAGGTTTCCAACTCTTCCAGGAGCCCCAGCAATCTGCCTGGTGGGAAGCTCTGTGGTTCAAGGTGCCTGGGAGCCAGGACTCTGCGGGCTTCCAGGCTACTAAAGCATTAGGAGAGCCTGGAATCCCTGGGAAACCTGCCTACAAGACAGCCTTCCACAAAACCAAAGACTCTGGGCACTCAAGGCTGTCAAAGAACTAGGTTTTTCAAAGTCTTGGGAGACTGGACTGCCAAGGAGTCAAGAGCATTTCAGGAGACATTTTGATTCCAATGAATTGGCAATTTCTGTCAGAAAAACGTTCCAGGGGAAAATGTCTAACCATCTCCAGACCATTTGTTGTTTTTTGTCTGTAACAGAGTAACTCGGCTACCCCCTGAAGCTTCATCTCTACTATGTAACCTTGCATTTTGGTGTGATTTGCACAGACCCCTACCTGTTCCATCTGGTGTTCCACAAACATAAGTTGGCAACATTTTCACGGTGGCAATCGCATGTGTTTCTTTCTTCAGTCCATATTCCAGTTCATCCTTCATTTTATTTTTCACTTCTATAAGATTCTCCTCAGAAAGGTGAAATGATGCTAGAACTTCATCAATCTGTTTGCGCTGGGACACCAATCTGCATGCAACTGCAGTTACCATTGCTGCTCCCTTCCCACTGCCGCTTTCAGAGAGAAGAAATCGGACATCACAGTTTGGGACCAGCCTTCTCACAACCTTATGCAAGCGTTTAGGATATCTAGAAGAAAAATCATTGCCGTATATTGTGTGTGTAAAATACATGTACAAAACCATACACATCTATAATGAACACACAAAACTTCAGAAATACAAAAGCAAAATTAGCTAAATGCAACCTCAGAAATTAGGAGGGGGAATGGGTGGGTGATGCCTGTTTTATGGTAATCTGGCTGCTTCGGTTCTGTTACTGAGGGGAGAAGGAAGAATGGGCACCATCCTTCATGATCAAATCCATACAAATAGGCTACAATCAAATTACATTTTGAGTTTTGCTACATTGATATGTACAAGTGGGAAGTAGTTCTTGGGGTGAAAGGAGGCTCCATATGACTTATTGGGGAGGGTGACATGATGGGCCTTAACCAGACCACTCACAACTTGCCACCTTCTCAGTTTTGTGGCAGTGTAGGTATAGATTCAGATCCAAGCTTTGAATCTGGCCCCTCTTTCCATAATGTGCTGACTCTGAACACCCTAGAGTTTGGGTAAACTTATTTAAGATTATATTCTGGATCCAAACTTCTCAACTCAGGCTCATCTCTAGTTAAGAAGGAGTGGCGTACAGCTAATAAATCAAAGGTTCAAAATAGAGTAATGAATTAGGATAGCAGATTAGTTTGAAAACTGCATGTGCTATACATTTTCTTATGATATTGTGTTGTTTGTTTCCTGGGGGGGTGTTATTTGTTTGTTTTATAAAAAAATCTTTCATTTCTATAAATTTCATGGTCAAGTACTTTCTCAGAAAGCTGAATGATACATAACATCCTTCCCCTCTCCAGAGCTAATGTGAATAACCTTTGCTGAATAACACAGACAAAATAATATAGAAGTGAGGCAGCTTACTTACTGAGGGTGTGTTTTATACAGAGTTCCATCCATCCCAACAGTAGTTCTCAGTCGTGTTAGTTTTTTATTTTCTCTAAGACGGGTCAGTATTGCTGCTAAGGCCGCAGCACAGAGGTTGGCTGAGCGAAATGAAACAATGGTGCAGACATGCTGTACAGCAATGCAATCTTCTTCAGAAGGAGTCAGGCCAAGTTCCATCAGTATCTCTTTAGTGTTTTTGAGACCTTCCTTATGTCTAACCCCAAAGAAAGGCACATTAATTAACCTGTATCTAAAACAACAGTCAAATCTGGGCACAACAGAAAACAAGGGAGATTTAGATACCAAGAGATTAGGCAATTTCTTGAGAGCATTGGTTCTCATACTGTGCTTCATAGACTATTAGTGGTCCACAGGTTATTTGTTTCCAGTCTGCAGTGAGCTGCCTGATTACAGATTGATGGCTACTCCTTCTTATTTTTCACTTTTTAAGGTTTCTTGCTATGAATCAGGTTGTCTAACCAAATAAAATTGGAAAGTGGCCAAAGGCCTGATACATGTCCAGTGAAAGTCAATGAAAAGATTCCCATTGAGTTACTCAAGGCTCATCTGAGTCTTGAAAAAAACGGAGAAGGCAAGTTATGTTTTAACATCAAACAGGCTGCTCCTTTTCTGTACCACTTTCACCCTCGTCTGCTTTCTCATGTTTTAGCCTACTCTGAGAAATAGAACTAGAGCACTACATGCTAATATTCAAGACAAAATACTCTATTTTAAAGGTGCATGAAGTTGTCGTCAGTTTTATAGCTGGAATATGGCCCATGGTTAAAATGAAAGCAACAAAATCAAGAGTTTTCAAACACTATAGATAGTCATCAATTACATGGGCTGTCTGCAGATCCATGATGCTCTTTATTATACCTTATAAATCCAAACATAACAACAGGTAAGCATAAATAAAGGCTTCCACTCTTCTGAAACACTGAAAACAGTTCTTGGAATCTACACAGCTCTATTTGTTACATACGAGAAATAGAATACATTTAAATATTTCAGCATGTGCCTCTGTATTATTTTATTACTAATTAAAGGACTAGTTTGGACTGTTAGATTTTTGCAGTGATTCCAGCACTGGAATGATCTGAGCAGAAATTTGATCATCAATAGAGAATCGATAACAACAATCAATTTTAAATATTTGTTTATTATACAGGCAGTCCCCGGGTTACATGGATCCGACCTACATCGGATCCCTACTTACAAACGGGGTGAGGCAACCCCACACTAGCTGCTTCCCCCCAGCAGACCAGGGAGACGCGGAGTGGCTTTTCTCAGCAGACACCTCAGCTTGAGAATAAAGGACTGAGGGAAGTTAGGGGTGGGAGAATAAAACTGAGCTCTGGAGAAATGTTTGGCTAGAGTTTCCCCTACAATATGTTCCAGTTCCGACTTACATACAAATTCAACTTAAGAACAAACCTACAGTCCCTATCTTGTACGTAACCCGGACTGCCTGTAATGGAATGGGAGAAGATTAGTTGCACTTATAGAAAGGCAAAAAAGTCATTACTGAGCAGTGTTTTTAAAGTTCTTACTTTTCCATAGCAGCTACATGTTTTGTCTCAACTTTGCCCTTAGTACGCAGAGCGGTTGATATCTTGCCATTGAAGAGCAGGCCTTTCTTTGCCATTTTTAGAAGAACGAGTCTTACAAGTTCTCCTAAATACAGTCCACTAATCATCTTCTCAAACCTATTAGTGAATACAAGCAATAGTTACATGCAAGAAAAATATCTTGGCATCATCATGAATAGTTCTCTGAAAACATCTGCTCAAACTACAGCAAAAGTCAAAAAAGCTAACAGCATTAGAATCCATTAGAAAAGGGATAGATAATGGAAAATATAATAATGCCATGATGCAAATTCATGTACCTTGAATACTGAATGTATGTCTGTCCAAACTCCCTCAAAAAAAGATACATTAGAATTGTAAAAAAATACAGACAAGGGCAATGAAAATTATTAAGGATATGGAATAGCTAGCATGCCAAGGCTGTTAAGGAGCAGGTATGTGGTTAATCACGTAGTTGGCAAGAGGAGGCGCTCTGCAGAGCCACAGCGGGGGTAGCTCTCAGAGCTGCCAAGGACTGGGACAGAGCAGTCCTGGCTTACACTGGCTCCAGGACCGCTGCAGCTCTGCATTTGAAATGTAGTAAGAGCTGTCAGGCTCTTACTACATTTAAAATGCAGAGCCGCAGCACAGGTGGCTCCCGGAGCTGGCGCAATCCAGGACTGAGCAGTCCCAGCTCACACTGGCTCCAGGATCACTGCACATCTGTTTTTTAAATGTAGTAAGAGCCGGCAGCGGGGGAAAGTCCAGGACCTGGCGCAAGCCAGGACTGAGTGGTCCTGGCTCGTGCTGAGTCCTGAACTGCTGTGCTTCTGACTGCCCATCCCCACACTGCTGATATAGAGGCAGCAAGGAAGGTAGAATGTGAGTAGTCGACTCAACTACCCTATAAGCCTAGGCTTATCAGGTAGTCAACTAATCAACTACTCTTTTACATTTCCATTGCATACAATGAGAGATTAAAAAGTTTGGAACTGTTCATCTTAGAATGCAGAAGAGGGGATGTGATATTACTTAGTTCTGCCATAAGTGCAGGGGACTGGACTAGATGACCGCTCATGGTCCCTTCCAGTCCAAAGATTTTATGGTAAAGATCTATCAGATCAGGAATGGTATGGACAAAGTGAACAGGGAAGTGCCATTTACCCCTTCACATAACACAAGAACTAAGAGACAGCTGATAAATAGGCAGCGGGTTTAAAACAAACGCAAGGAAGTACTGCACAGTCAGCACATGGAGTTTGTTGTCAAAACTAGAACTAAGTTCAAAACCAAATTAGATATGAAAAGTAGGTCCCTCAACAGCTGTTAGCCAAGATACTCAAAGTCACAACACCATGCTCGTGGCATCCCTAAATCTCCTATTGCCAGAAGCTCTTACTGGACAACAGGGACATATCATTCAGTAACTGCCCTGTTCTGTTCATTCAGTCGCCTTTTGATATACTTGGCACTGGCCACTGTCAGAAGACAGGATTCTTGGCTAGATGAACTATTGGTCTGGCCCTGTCTGGCTGGTTTTATGTTCTTATATATAAAAATACCAAGGTATCCAAGTAATCTAATTCTGTCTCCAGATCACCAGAATGGCTCAATGTTTAAAAGGTTTAATGTAATTAAGCCTACATAAAAAGAGATATCAGCAACCTTCTGTATTTTAAAAATGGTTAAGTCATTGAAATCACATTAAATACGATGCATTTCATTTCAAAGGCTGCATTTCAAACGATGCATTTCATTTCAAAGTACATCACCACCCTGCTCCTCTTCCCCTTCTGCCGTGGTGCTCGGCTGACTTCTGCACCGCTCAGCCGGGCCGCCACAGGGGAGCAAGCAGCGCAAGCGGACATTTGGGCCCTGTGTTCCCCATGCAGCACCCCTGTTTTTCAGATAGGGTACATCTGGACTACTTGGCTCCGTCAACAGAGCCATATAAAATAGTTTACTCAGCATAGTCAAAGAAGCAGGTATTTAAATAATCCCCACTTCATTAAAATAAAAATGGCTGCCGCGCTGTGCCGACGATCAGCTGATCTGGCACAGCGCGGCAGTCTAGACGCAGTGCAGTTGACAAGGGAAGCCTTTGTCGACCACTCCGGTATGCCTCATGAAATGCTTCTTTGACTATGCCGAGTAAATTATTTTACATGTCTCCATCGACAGAGCCAGGTAGTCTAGACATACCCTTACAGACTTACCTCCCTCTGAGACTTTTAAACGTGTGACAGGAACTCCCACAAAGGAAAATACTGACAACAAATCTTCCTCATTTCCTCATTTTACTTCATCACAAAATGACAAGAGAATTACTGTCTCGTCATAATGTCTCATTCTCATAATGGCTCTGTGGGAATGAATGGTGAAATCCTGACTCCATTGCCATCAATGGCAAACTCCCATTGATTTCAACGGGGCCAGGATATCACCTAGAATCTCCAGCAGGAGCCTTCCATCGATGCTATTGTATCACAGTGACATTTATGCAGTATTATTTGTTAGAGTCTCTGGAATGAGATGCATTGTGTTTAATGTGGTTTCAATGACTGTTGTTAACCATTTTTAAAATACAAAAGGAAAGAGAGCTGCAAAAAAAAAAAAAAAAAAGATTCAGAATGGTGTTCAGTGGCTTTCAAGTCACACTGTATAGTTTGGGGTGCCCCACCCAGTGAAGTCTCCCAGCATCAGTGTGGCACTGCCAGGTGAGAGAGCCCATCGTCAACCAGTAGGTTACAGAAAGAAAGGGGCTCTCAACTGAACTGGTCCCAGAAAGCTTTGGGTAACACGCAACTGTGGAGACTCATGTTAGTAAGTGACTGAGGAATAATACTCACAATTGTTTTCCAGGATTGTCAGATCCCAAGTCAATCTCCCTGTCAAACTCAGTCCTGAGATCCTCCAGTGACCCATCATCTCCAAAGGCTCCCCACTCAGTGTTAATACACATCCTCCCCTCATCACCTTCCACCAGATCAATGTGCCTCATTTCTTCCATGTAGCAAGCATTTGTGCCAGTGCCTGAGTACATCAGAAAGAAACAAATTTACAAATGAAGAGTTAATAGAAAATATATTTTAGAATTAGATTCAGCATTTTCTTTAAGAAAATGTACTTACATTAAGTTGCAAGTTATGTTTTAAAAAAACCTGCTGTATCTGAAACCTGTTAAATAATCATCAACTATCAAGGAAACAGCAAATGAATGAAATGTAGTGAGTATAAGGGCTGAGTCATTCAAAATATTTCTGCTATTTCATATTCCCTTATATACTATACTTAAAATACAATTGAGATAATATGAAACACACATTATGAGAAAAAATACATCATTCTTTTTGGGAAAGGTAAGAGGAGATAAGAGGAGGATTTCTTCAAGATAAAAAAAATGGCTCTTTTAGATCACTGGCAGAAACATTTATTTTGTTGGTCAGAATCTCCTGTTAGTACAGTTATAATATCCTTTTTTTTAATGAAAAATCTGTATATGAACAAGATGAAAATTCTTTTACCATTATGGCCCTCTCACTTCCTTACAGTAGGAACTATAAACAATGTCACTTTTAAGCAAGATTATTGCAGTCATCAAAAGGCTTGAAATACAAACTGTACTGAAACAGGTTTTGCAGACAGACAAAAAGAGCTATTTACTGTGAACCCATCCCCAAGAACTCTCCAATGTCTCAGGATTTGCCAATATCTTCTTGTCTTATTTTTGCTTAATAGAACTAAATATATAGATAAAGAGGTAAAATTTTAGGATATAGTGACTTGTCCCAAAGGTTAAGCAGTAGAAGTCACTAGAAGAAACACAAGGAAGGAAAAAGACAGACAGATAGGCATCTGTGTAAGAATAAGCAGAAGCATTCAGTAAATGATAATTTGTAAAAGGTCCCTGTAAAATAAAACAAAATAAATAACTTCTTTTTAAAATATAGATCTTGTATATAAGATGACAACACTTATTTTATTGATTTGAAATTAAATTTTTTCAAGACACTCTTAACAAGCCATTCTTTTTGCATTTGCAAGTTTTTGAATATGCTGATACTGTCACTTAAAGGTTTACATTCTATTTTGTATTCCGAAGTAAGAAACTAGTGCTTGAAAATCCAGCATTTTAGGTTTTTCATTTTCAAATAGTTGATTTTAGAAATGTGAAGGTGAACATGCATCCATTCCCCAGATTTGCTAAAATTATAAGTCTTTTTTTGCAACCCTGATTTAATAAAATAAAATTACCTATTATGACACCAACTTCACAACGCTGATCATCATATCCACAGGTCATCATTGTTCCCACTGTATCATTTACCAGTGCCAAAACATCTACATCAACATCCTAAGAGAATAAAGACCTCTAGTGAATAGAAAAACATTTACAGCCATCCGTATAGTTAAGTAACAGTGTTTAGGCACAACACTGACTAATTTTTAGAGGTCCAATTTAATAAGGATGGATTTAAGTACATGCATAAATCTTTGGTTGTTTTTCCACTTCCTCCAATCCACCAGTCCTTAGCCAAGAAATGAAAGAAAAACTAAAGCTCCAATTTTGATGTGATGGTACCAAAGATCACCTCGCATGTCACTCAGAGCAAGATTCAGGTGCTTTTACTCTTGTGAAGTAGTACCTTTTTTCTTATATAGCCCCACTGATGCCAAAGGGAATTTGGGGGGAAACAGAGCTATCCAAGCTAAATGAGTGCTTCAGACTCAAGCGTTCAGGAACATATATTCATGTCGCAGCTGCACAGGTTCCTGATGATGTCAGCGAGATTAATACAAAGATAACAAATGAAAAGCAGAGCTATTGGTGATAGGAGATTTTTTTGTTTGTTTGTGTTTTTAGCCATGTGAAAAACAGTGAAATGTAGGATATGCTAGAAGGAGGTCAATACACAGGAAAAATTTCATATTTTTTAAATGTTACAGGACAGAGACGGTATAAAGGAAATTAGCTTTTTCAAGTGCCATGGCATACACACAAGGAGAACGCTAACATTTATATTTTAATTATGTTTCATTACTAAACTTAAAATGTAATAAGTCAACTGAAGAGAGTTGGCAGTTTTTCAAAAGGGACATTATTAAGGACCCAAAAGCAAACTATTCCACTGCATAGGAAAGATAGAAAATATGGCAAGAGACCACTTTGCCTTAACCAGGAGATTTTATATGATCTAAAAATAAAAAAAGAGTCATATAAAAAGTGAAAACTAGATCAAATTACAAAGGATGAATATAAGCAAATACCACAACTAAGCAGGGGCAAGATTAGAAAGATGAAGGCACAAAACGAGCTCAATCTAGCTAAAGACATAAAGTGTAAAAAAAGCATTCTACAAATATATTAGAAGCAAGAGGAAGACAGGGTAGGCCCATTGCTCAGTAAAGAGGGAAAAACAATAAACAGAAAACTTGGAAATGGCAGACGTGTTTAATGACTTCTTTGTTTCGGTTTTCACCAACAAGATTGATAGTGACTGGATACCCAACATAATGAATGCTAGTGGAAATGAGGGATGCTTAGAAGTTAAAATAGGAAAATAAGTTAAAAATTACTTGGAGAAGTTAGATGCCTTCTAGGGCTTTATGAAATCTGTCCTAGAATATTCAAGGAGCTAATAGAGCAGGTATCTGAGCCATTAACTATCATCTTTGAAAAATCATGAAAGTTGGGAGAGATTCCAGAAAATTGGAAAAGGGCAAATATGGTGCCCATCTATAAAAAGGGAAATAAGAACAAGCAAGGAAACTACAGTAAAACTCTATTGGTCCGGCATCTGATGGTCCGGCACTCCTGATGGTCTGGCACCATCAGGAACCTGGAAGTGCTCCGGGCAGCCGGACCATTGGAGCTGCTCTGCCCCTGGCTTCCCCGATTCAGCTGCCACTGAAACTGACCCACGCTTAACTTGGGGAAGATGGGGCAGAGCAGACGTGGTTCTCGC